GGGTTTTGGGCTCATGGCGATGAGCCAGCCATTAATGGGAGCTGGAGGGAAAGTGAGTAATTTCAGGGTTTTGGGCTCATGGCGATGAGCCAGCCATTAATGGGAGCTGGAGGGAAAGTGAGTAATTTCAAATATACCCGCCATTAAATGGTCAGAGCCAATTATGCAATTGCTCTTTGCTAATAATAGGCAGTTATTATATCATCCATGTTTCTTTCCTCGGATGTTAACCGCACGTATAGAAACGACCTTATATAGTTACATGAAACCATCTTTTAATTTTAATTTATACGTAAACTACTTTTAAAATGTGTTTTTGTCGCAATCAACCCCCTCCAAGTCAAATTTTTTTGAAAAATCTGAAGATAAGGTTAAAAATTAAAGTTCAGGTTACGTGAGTTGTACGCTCACAAGACCTAAACACTAAAAAAAAAGTGTCATGTGCCTTGAACGAGGTTAATTTTAGATTTTTAGTGAAAATTTTGGTTAGAAGATGTTTGATTGCAATAAAAACTTATTTTTAAGATGGTTTATGCATACATGGAAATAAAAAAGTGGTTTTTTTGTATAATTATCTTGTTTTTAATGTGGTTTCTAGGGAGAAAAAACCTAAATGGTCAAGTGCTCACGCAGAAAAGATACTTATCTTCCTCCATGCACTCTTTGCTTGTCAAACGGGTGTGATTATATGTTAGATGTGGATGCAAATGCATATGCTAGAAAAATGTACTAGATAGGCGAGGATAGCCTTTCCTTGCATGGAGCAAACATATGAGTATTCTTTTCTCTGCTATCAAACATATGCGGTGGCAGAGCTAGAAACTTTTTGTTAGAGGGGCAAATGATAATTATCTATTTACATAAATGAAAATGAGCTACTAATTTCAAATAGGCCGAATGAAAACGAGCAACTAGCTTGTAAATGTCTAATGTAAATTGGTCGAAAATTCAAAGCGGGTGCAAAATTTGACAACTATCTTAATTGCAGGAGGCATTAAGATGTAATTTGTAGATTGCTAAGAGCGCAACTGCGCCCCTAGTACACACTATGCATCCGCCCACGAACATATGTATGAATTCGTGGTGTGATCGAATTGTGTTCATTGAATTTAGGGTCTGGACTTTATCAGATTGAACACAGCATGCGATTGCCGAGTCATGTGCCCTTCGTTGGAGTTGGAGACGCATGTGTAATTTTTCTTGTAGTCCTTATTAATGATAATACGTAATGCACGAAGTTCTACCATCTTTCATCTACGGTCAATGTAAACCTTTATACATGAGGCGTTTGATAGCTTACAACTGAAGTAGTTGCAAGATCAATTCTATGCAATTGAGTCAATTTAGTCCAGTTGCTGTTATGATTGTGTCTGTACAACCGACTTTGTGTGATGAATAACAAACCCTCATATTGGTTTAATATTATTTGAGATGTTATATACAAGTTATAAGAAGTTAGAACCAAGTTTAATATTAAAAGAGAAAGATAACAAGAGTTGAATGTAAGATATTACTTGAATAAATAATTATAGAGCACGCAATGAATTAAATTAAATATAAAATACCTCCAGCCATTGTTGTTTAGAACGATCTGCAACTCAGGTAATTAGATCAAAACTAGAGATAATCTGAGCGCATATAGAAACAAAGAATAAAATTAGAACACTATTAGAATAAATAAAATAAAGAAATACAGAAAGAGATTCTAGCCTATGCCTTAACGAATAGCCTAAATCTGATGGAAGAACTATGATTGTATTTATAGTCTAGGCTAGGTCCCTTCTGTTATAACTGGAGTTATTAAAGGATAAGACTTCTTAAAAGATAAATTTTCGTCCACTAAGGAAACTATCTAGATATGATCTTATATCAATTCATTACAACTCTTTATAGGATAAGAACTCAAATACCATAACGAATTAAGATAATTATTATCATGTGGACCAAAACTTTATCCGAATACAACATTCTCCCACTTAGTCCACATTCATAATTAACATAGAAATATGGTTATAATTAAAATTCATGTCATTTAGTAGTGTATAGCTTCGACTCAAATAAAAAATCTAATGCACGAATCATAGAGGTCAAGCTTTTGGTAACAATGAGCTCTTCCTTCCATGTACCACGATGCACAAATTCACTAAGTGAGCAACCTTATGAGCAAACTTTATGAATAGATTCATACAAAGTCACCCAAGTCTTACTTTAACTATCTCAATGAATATAATTCAAATATGAATATTTTATTTGTGCACAATAAAATTAAACTTTATTCTCTAAGAATATCCAGAACTTGTCTAAAACAACTAGAGAGAAAATAAACATTGATGAGCATCAATCCCATATGCTCCACATGACCTAGAAACTATTTTGTCGATAATCTTTTAGTCATGGGATCAATGACCATAAACTAAGTATTAATATGTTGAATGGACACAACATTTTGCCTCTCATTCTCTTTAACACCAAGATACTTTACGTCAATATACTTGCTTCAGATTTCACTCTTATTATTTTTGGAGAAGAAAATAACTGTCAAATTATCACAATAGATCGTTATAGGCTTTGCAATAGAGTCAATGATTTTAAGGTCCAAGATAAAGTTCCTCAACCATAATGCAATTAGTGGCTTCATAGGATGCAATGAACTCTACCTTCATGGTAAATGAAGCAACAATTATTTGCTTAGTACTCCTCCAAATATAGCACCTCCGACGAGAAGGAAGACATATCCTAAAGTGGACTTTTTTGAATCTACACATTTAGTAAAGTCTAAATCTGAATAATCGACCACTCCAAACGATCAATATGACTATAAGTCAATCTATAGTCCTTGGTTTCTTTCAGATATCTCATGACTCTTTTAGCAACCCTCCAATGCTCCATACCAGGATTATTCTGGTATTGACCCAATAATCCTACTACAAATCCGATATCAGGACTAGTGCATACCTGTGTATACATCAAATTGTCCATGGCTGATGCATAACGTATGCTCTTCATCTGATCATTTTCTAATTTATTTTTTTGGACATTGATCTTTACCGAGTTTATCATCTTTGATGATAGATACTAATATTGATGCACAATCTTTCATTTCGAATATCTCTAATAGCTTTTTAGCGTAGGCCATTTGAGATAGTCCTAAATGTCTTTTAGACCTATCTCTATGAATTTTTAGGCAAATGACATAAGCAACCTCACATAAATCCTTCATTTTAAAGTTTTCAGAGAGGAATTATTTTGTCTCATGTAGCAAACCTAAATTATTTCTTGCAAGTAAAATATCATCTACATATAGGAATATAAATATAATTTTGCTCCCACTAACCCTAAGATATACACATTAATCAATGATGTCCAAAAAAAATCTGTATGAGGAAACAATGTTGTGAAATTACCATTGACATGAAGCTCGTTTTAGTCCATATGTAGATCTTTTTAGTTTGCAACTAAGTGATAATCTTTCTCATCACAAAATCCTTCTGGTTGCCTCATGTATACTTCTTCCTCAAGATTCCATTCAGAAAGGATATTTTCACATATATTTGATGTAACTCCTTATCAAAATGAGCAACTAGAGCATAATAAACCTAAATGAGTCCTTCTTAGAAACTGATGAGAAGGTTTCTTGACAAATCTCTTCCTTTTTAGTAAAACTTTAAGCTACAAGCCTAGGCTTATATGACTTAAGAATACAAAAAGGGTCCTTTTTGGTCTTGTAGACCCATTTGTAGCTTATGGTTACAGCCCTTTTGGTAATTCGACAATATCTCAAACTTGATTTTAGCCATAGATTCTATCTCTTCCTTCATGGCATTGTACCAAAGAGAAAATTGGGTCTCCATTCACATATTGTGAAAATGTACACAGTTCATCCTTAGATCCAATGTCAAAATCAAACTCCCGAATGCATACAATATAGTCACTAAAAGTTGTTGACCTCCTTTCCCTTGAAGATCTTATTAATCATACCTCTTGATTTACATCAATAGAAGGGGCCTCATGAACTTCAATTTCGTGGGATGGTTGTTGTTGTGATGGTTGCTCATCAAAATTTTCAATTTGATTACCTTGAAGATTAACTAAATCGTTATCTTTATGCAACTAAATTTCCTCATGTGCCTCCTCAAATTCTAGCTGATGAGGAAATGCACTCTCACTAGATTCATAATCCTCAAGAAATGTAGCATTTCAAGCCTCAACTACTTGTAGACGGTAAAAAATACCTCTATGGGTCTACAGGGAATTTGTCTAGGAGAAGAGTTCGCACGCCC